GGATGGGTTGGGAGGAAACTGGCCTGACTACATCACGCTTCTAGCGATCATTCCCCTGGTCAGGTCCCAAGAATCTCGGGACCCAATCTGCCCGTGATAGCGAGAGATTCTTACGATAAGCCTTCGATAAGTTATCACTTGTTTTTTTAATTAAACTTTAATTTTTTATTATCCAAACAAGAAAAGACAAACGAACGAGCACAGCGGTGCCGCACTTACCAGGCTTTTTCTACAAACTGCATTTCGTTTCTTGTTTTGTCTCTAGATACGGACAGGTCATTCAGTGAACGCGTATGACTAGCTCCTGTCGCAACATGTACCAGGGAAGCAGGTGTGTTGCGCCGAAGATGCAAACTAAAACATACATATATCATTTGAAGACTATAATGTTACTACGGACGTTGTAATGATACATTGGTGCCTTACCACACAAGAAACGCTTGCCGTACAAATGCTGTACAAAACTGCTGTCCTCAAAAATAGATAAAACGCGAAAACAACATCGGAAGGTTTCATCTCGGGAATTGTACTTACCGTGGATTGAATGGTTCGGCGGCATACATGACGCAGAGAGCTGCACACCTGACGCAATTTACGTCCGTCCCGTCCCGTGTAGAGCCGGCCGTATTTCACGTCACGTCACGTCACTAACGCACGTGTTTGTGCAATGTGAACCGTGCCGCGACTGACGTAAATCTCCAAGCAGATGTCCTGTGGCCCAGGCTTATTTGTGGCTAATTTTTTACGGTGTTTTCTTTGTACCTGGAATACGTTCGCGTGTTTCTTTAACCACGAAGCGTCTGTGATACAGATACAGACTTAGGGTGGCCCCTGTCACTGTTCTAAATGGTCCTTCCCAGCAGACGGGCACCTAATTAATGACACGTAGGACAGTTCCTCTGCGCTGTGACACATTCTCTTCCAAGTAGTCCGAAAAGGGAAAAAAACACACCCACTTATGCTGGTATTGCCAACCTGGGATACGCTTTCTTTTCACTTTTTCTTCTCGACGTATTTTTTATGTGCAACTTACTTGGAAGCGTGTGACAGCGATTAACACCTGTAGACATATATCTCTCAAAAGCCTCATTCGCAAGAACTCGATGATCGCTTGGTAAGACGCGCGCTCGGCAGATTGGCACTGATACAACTTCCAAGTCTGTTTCTGTAACCATTCTGTGTGGTCCTCGTTTGGCGAGCTTGCTGCCTAACTGATTGGATAGCGTAGTCTCCGAGCAGGTGCATGGCTTTGGCTCCAGGTGGCGTTCTACAGGCCTTTTGTGGAGTTTTGTAGGTCATTTCTTTATCTCTGGTGTTTTGTCACACATCGATCTCATTAAATAATAATGATAACCTTTATTATACATTCATGCCCTATCGGGCCCGCGGGCTAAGTACAGGTGAACAGATGAAGTAGGTATGTTTGTAGTACAAAATTAAAGAACCCACCACACTTCTCAATAACAGTTGGAGAACAAAAAGGCATCTATCCACTCTGAGATCAGGGCCGGTGTTTTGAAGTGAAACGCGGGACAGAGCAGGTCGGCAGATTCCCCGGGTGGCAGTTAAAGTTAAAACGTTACTCCGCCGCTTCTACGTGTTCTGAAGGACCCATATGCGATCTTACCCGAGTCGTAACGTTGCCGACTCAAACCCGAAAACGGCCCATTTGCGCCGCGTGTTGCCGCGCTCCGCTGCACTTAGCCTCGGCACACCAGCCACTCTTCTTGGTCTGTGTTTCTGATCTAATGTAAGCTCTCTGTGAGCCGCTCCTGCTCACTTCAAGTCTCTTCCAGGGCTTCAACCTGGGGCTCCTCGGCTATTTCGGTAGGTTTTTGCCCCGTCTGGATGTCGCACACCGGCTGTCTCGGGGACGGGATAAGTTGGGCAGGCAGCTGTAGAAGTTTACACTTTATTACAGTAGTCAGAGAGCCCGGGCCTGGATGCAAGGCATCGCATTTGTCATTGCAGATGGTCACGTCAAGACGGAAAGAGGGAGCTCCATGCGTTAGTCTCAAGAGTCATCCTTTACCGTATGATGTAAGAGACCCCTAACACTGTAACCGTAGGGGTTTGTGTGTTTGTGCCGCGGCTAAATACGCGAGCCCTAGCGAAGTAGCACTGCACTTCTAGCTAACGCCCGAGATCGGCTGGAAAGTAAAGAAGAAGCCCCAGGAGAGGCCGGTAACCAGGCTACACCCCGGCCTGATGGAGCGACCATTTGGTAAACTGTGGCACAGCCCATTACCCTCCCCGCCGCACATTATAACCCCGGCCTTAAGTGGCGGCCATCTCGGACCGACTGCAGCTGATGATGTTATTGTGTCCGTCGGGAGCCAGGCTAAACTCTGCCCTTTGACCGTACTTAGGGCTGATGAGGCCAGTGTTGTCTCCTTCAACGAATGTTAATACCTCAGGTCCTGTCTATATCTGCTGCTACGACGCAAATGCTGAACTCATGTTTCTTCCTAGATTGAGAATGCAGAGGGGTGTACAGTGAATGGGGGGCTTCAGGTGTAAGCCTAAGGTGTCAAACCTCTCCGCGTAATGAACCCAGCACACTTAACAAGAGGAGTAGGGTTGACCCAGCGCGGTCACAAAGGCAAGTCGTAGCGAAGCTGCATTGCGCTAAAATTCGGCTCGGTGAGAGAAGTTGCCGACTTGCATCCGCCTTAGTCCAGACTAACCACGCTGGCTGATAAACAGTAAAATTTAGCCAAATATGGAGAGTAATTTGCCAGGGGGTTGCGCCACTGCAGGGTTTCATTTGCCCGCGCAGCTTAAGTTGAAGGGAAATGTTACTCTTACTCCAGGTTACTCTCCTGGGCAATCATTCACCCTATATTTTGCCAAATTTTACTGTCCACAACCCCTTAGGCAGGTGTGGTGGAGGCTACGGTCGCCTGGCTGTAACGGTTTGTGCTTCCACCCATGTACAGGTGTTACTGTCCTGATACTTCCGCCAACATTCAAAACTTTAGCCTGGACGCCGCACTGTTTCGAGGGCCTACATAGGTCAGCTTCTCTGCTCCAGGGCCAACATGCCCCCGGTTGGAGATTACAAGAGAGTACGTATTCAGGAAGACCAGGGCACGGTCGCATCTTTACTTCGGACACAAGATGAGCAAGAAAGCGGGGCTATAAATATACTAGTAGTTGCCCTGTGAGCCGCAATTCTGTACACATACATCTGTCACTTTTCACATCGGTGTACTCAAAGTATGCTTCACAAATGTACTCTCGTGCACCACAGTCTCCATTGGTATCTGTGAGTTGCGGCACGTATATTATGAACATCCATCCATCTCGGTAGTTCCTTTTACGCACACTGCATCTAATGTACAGAATATTTCATTATATAACGTACTCCTTAGCTATGCACAAAGCTTTCAGCGAGAACCCCGAAAGCTTAACGGAACACAATATGAAAATTTTACTAAAACGCCAATTCAGTCGATACATTTAACTTAAGATGGAGCTTTTTATTCACTGTGATGCCAAGGGACGTCTTATAACCGTTACGCAAGTCTTGATTCCTACAAACCTTTTAACCAAAAAGACTTCGAACTCCTTGAGGATCTATTCGAAGACGGGCTCTCGCTCTACCTTCTTGGCTGAGTTCCAAGCTCGGGAAACCGTAATACCGGCATATCTCGCGAACTGATCAATACAACTGTTTCATTAATTTATGTGGTGAGACAGGCGAGTATACACGAGCCACAACGGATCCGTCACAGCGGCAAACGCACGGTTCTAGAGCAGAAACAGATCCTATAAAACTAACATTCAAACCGGAACCGTCCGGTATAGAGATCTAGTAACTCCACGGTGCTGCTAACTCAGTCACGCGTTTATATAGAAGGCCCCCTTTCCACTAGACTTGTTTGACCCTTGAGTTCATAATTTGAATATACATGCACGATGCAAAAGTATCATTTAAAAAAATCATACTTTTACATCGTTTTGCTATCCTTCAAAAAGGATAATAAAGCAGACAACGTTTAAAATCCGTTGACTATGACATTCGTCGAGCGATCTGACGAATATTTGGAAGATCATCGGTCGCAACCTCTAGCGGAAAGGGGATGTAACAGACATCTTATAAAACTACTAATAACATTCATACCAGAACCGTCCTGTATATCTACTATAGCTCACGTGCGCCGAGGATAACGGGTTTATAGAACTAATCTCTCAGGTATATAACAGAAATAAAGCCTACAGGCAACAACGGGGGAGGATAAATATCATATTATGTGTAGTTTATTTGCTTTATGGTTGTATCTGTCACTCGTAGATTTATATTGCTGTACCATTTGGTAATCTCTTAGCTGAAGCGTGTTTGAAAGCCCGGTAAAGCGGAGACAACAGCAGATAGGTGTATGTTATATATATATTAATATTTCATAAACATTTTCCTTGTGTATGAATCTGCATTCTACCATGACGGGATTATTCTATTTTTCGATACGATCGTATCGGTGAAAATGACCAAAGAAATTTAAAAAAGACTGAAAGTTGATTTGTATTAAGGCGTGGTCATATTTGCACATGCCTGTATTTCTGTTCTGTCCCTTGTGATCACACTGGAAAGTCTATCAGGAAAGTGGCCAGAGGGATGGACGATTACCAGTCTAATGAGGCAGAATAGCCATTTTCGGGCCAATCCGGAGCAGGTTGTACATAAGCCTGGACACATCAGGACCTTCCCACGACTTTGCTTCGGACAACTCCCCAACCATTCATGAAGGTCGCCACAGGGTTGGGAGTAGTCAGTAGCCTAGTAGCTCCAGTTCGCTCATCTCGAACAGAACGTGACTTTTTTTGGACGTTTGATACTCGGCTGGCCCGGGCCACTTTTGAAAAACTTGGTCTGGACACGGTTGGCCACCAGCCTAACCATACCTCCAAGTCCTCAGGCAACACCAATGCAATGTCTTGTTCCCTCTCCTTTTTGGTGTCTATAGTGATAATGACAAAATAAACACCATGATACTAAGTATGTTCAAAACCAGTTTTATTGCATTACTTAAGATGTTGGTATGATAAAAGGCAAGAGATGTTGTCTAATAATACAAAGATTACACTACTAAATACTTACCTGAAAAGTTGGTAAAAATGGCAAAAATCAAAATCCAAAATCCTGTTCTTGTAAAACTTACATAACTTAAATAGTGAAAACTTAACTTAGATAGGGATTTTTAGTTAAAAAAACTACAACTCTGCAACTACATGTCCTGTAATTAATATATTTGGATACAGGGCAAGTAAAAAAAACCCTGATAGTTGCACTTTTTCTGTACATTAAATTTACAGTGTAAATATAAGGGACACATAAAAAGGCCCTGGCCATAAAAATAGATACTTACAACTTCATCATAATGAGTTGCACTTCAATAGTAAAAATCTCACGACTATTTCCACAAAAATCTACATGTTTTAAAAACCTTACCTTGATATACATGTACATACTTTGAGTTGGACTGGGACATCCCCAAAAAATCAAAACCTCGGTTTATGTACACATATTTTTTCTTGGCTTTCACAAATCTAAAAGTTTTTAAAACCCCATAGCATATACATTTCATCATATACTACTTCACTTTCATAGATCTAAAAGTTGCAGAAACCTTAGCATATATACATATTTCATAACATTTTTCTTTGCTTTGCTGGTCACACCCTGCAGACTGTGAACACAGAGTATAAGGGAGAGGGGAGGGAATTTCTGGCGAGGGAGAGCAAATTTCCCTGGTGGTGCTCCTTAATGAGTCTCGCTGAAACCAAGCGGTACGGCGAGCGTACAACGTGGGTGGACTAGGTAGGGGAGGGCCCATTGATGTGGCGTAAGGTCGGGTGGATGGAGCGATGTAAGTTGTTCGCAGTTGTGCAACACTCTGGCTCCCACATCAGTGGCAGGAGGCTAACCAATAGAAGCACAAGGAACAGAAGGGCCTGGACCGGGAGGGCCAATCGCAGTACTCGCTTCAGACGTGGCCACGACCTGAAAAACACGGAAGAGAACTTGTTACTGCCAGCTTCCCAAATATGTTCAAGCTGACTTTGGGAGACAAAATCATAACCTTTCCTGGGAGCCACGAGTGTCAGGAAAAATGGTCCGCAAGAAGTCATCAGGACTTTTTATCCCTACATCTGCTTGGAGGCTGACTAAATACTGATCTCCATGCAGATGTTGGGAGTTGTAATGTTTTCCTGACAAGCAGCTCTCCCAGCGTGCACCAAAAGACTGTGCAGCCTGCCAGAAATCTTCACAATTTCCATCCCTACATCTACTTGGAGATTATCTAAACATTACTGGTAGCTCTCAAGATGCTTACGCTCAAAGGGGATCAAATTACTGCGCAGAATTTATTGTTTTCTTGCGTATTGATTGGGAGGGGGGAGGCCAAACGCTTTGTGGTCCCTGCAACAGATGAGCTTCGCCTGCGAACACTTAATTGGATTACTCAAGCTGCACGTCGGAAAAGGCCAATAATCCTCGGAAATATTTGGCCACAAACGGAGGGTCTGTTTGCTGCGACTCAGTTGGATGCTTTCCCGCGGAGGCCCCGGATATATTGCACTGTCGATTAAACCAGTGCAGGTCAATAGTGGGAGGCAGTGGTGCACACAGGGCAGAAGTTTGGCCAAGAAGAGTCGACATTCTGCTCGGACTGACCTTGAAGAGAACTCCAGTTGTCAGGCAGAAAGGTCGCTGCCGACATGGAAAATCAGGAATCTGGAAAATTGCCTCCAGTAATTTCTGGATAATTTATGGCCGTGGATGTTAATTTTCATTTCACAAGTACCTGCCTGTGGTCAGTTAAGCTTGTCGAACGATGGATAGCTGGGAAAACATTGAATCTCATGGCTACAGAGCTTGTCTTCCAAACCTCAACTGGCTAATTGCAATGAACTGCGATACATTAAGTGATCTGATGAGCCATCTAACCAAAAGTGTTCCAGGAAGTTTTGTTTTTTATCTTATAAGGGTGCTAATGATGGAAGCAACAAACAATAAAAGTCATTTTCTATTTAGCTAATTAGCAAAAAAACGTAGTTTGAATCCAAGCAGGTTACTAGTATTTTGTTTCTTTTGCAGTTACCCAAGCATGAAGACCAAATATGGATGCTTTATCACGGGAAGAATTTGTGAAACAAAAAAGTTGTTCTCCCTCACAGAAACAAACTGTACACAAACTCAACAACAAGCAATCCAGCGAAAGTCTTGCAGCTGTAAAGTTTTCGTGTATCAGAGAGTTGCTAAAAGTTGAAGGAAATATGAAAGCTTTTTCACAGGGAAAAATTGTGACCACTGGGAAGGGCCAATCAACCAAGAGCACTCCAAGGGCACAGGCCTGGCAACTTCAATTGCATATTTTATAGGGGAGATCAAAGGATGGGACCTTCGCTCCTAACTGGGCATCCGAGCCTTGATTGCGCCCTGGATGGCTTGCCCCCGCTAAGTCTGGTAATTACCTCCTGTCATTAGGAGATGATGGATTCCTTCCGACGTCACAGCTCCTTGAGGAATCGGGAAGGAAATCATTTTGTCCGCAGATGGAATTATCCATATACTTCAGCCTGGCCTGTCAGAAACCGTGGTGACGGCTGATTGGTCATCACCCCCCTGGCCAGAGGAGAGACCGAGAGGTTACGCGGTCTTCTCCAGACCAGAACGCGAACGTCTCACTTTGAAGGAAGAGCAGATGGATTCTGTCCATCCGCGGCTCCAGAAATCGCGGCGTGAATAATGCAGCGGGGGATCAACGACTGGCCAACCTGCCGCTCTTCATACTTCATATGCAATGTAGTGGCAAGACCCTACTAATTACCTGGCTGCGAGTTTATAGGAAAAGTTGAAAAGGCGGCAGTTCTTACCTGCTGTCCTCCTGATCAGCCTCCAGGGGTACCCTGCCTTCAGAAGCCTGCAGAAACAGACAAACTTTTCTTTGAACAACGAGGTTTCACATTAAACAAACATTTAGAAGTAAGGAAATAAAGTTTGCACCTTGAACAATTTTTCCTATTGAAATACACTGATGTCCTATGAGTATCTCTTGCACAGTTTGGTGTAAACACTTTGTGACACAGTCAAAATCCAAAAGTCTTTTTTTTAAACTACACAATTTGGTATAATCTAGGAAAATTTTGTGACCAAGATGAATAAACAAACTTTTTCAAAGTAGTTTTCAGAGTAGTATTTTCCACTAAAACCTGCTTTAAAGAGCAGACAGAAGAGCTGCGGAGTCAGTGCTATTGTACATCTGCTCCCAGCCCGTGTGCTGTAAAACATCCATTAAACCTCACCAAAAAGACTGGACCCAACGGGCCTGAACACTCCCAGGCAAATATGTCATACTTTACAATCTGCAGGGTATCTGTTTTCCTGTCAAACAAAGGTCTAAACATCCCCGGGCTCATTTTTCATGGCCTTCCTCCCCAAGTTCCCAGCAGTTTGACCCCTGGAAGATTAAATCATTACTCGTCTGACCTTTGTGGAAATAGTGGGGAGCGGGAGCGGAGTGTTTCTATTATAGCAGCGTCCATTTGTTAGGAGCGCAGGACAAGCGGAGGAATAAGGGAGGAAGGACGATGTGAGATTGATGGAGGAGCAGGTTGTTCCATCATGTCTGGATTCCACTCCTGGCAAAGGGCTGGTCTGGTCCGACATCAATTGGCTTTTGCTGATGATGTGGGGCCAACTGAGGAATGAGTCTGGATCAACCACTAGCCAGAACAACTTAAAAATGTGTGAAAATGCCCAAGTGGACCTATAAAATCTGGACTATATCGAAAGGTGGTTACTATAAACAGGATTCTTAATGCTTGTGTCAATAGGAAAAATTATCTAAGGGGCCACCAAAAAGTGGTCACAATTGACCAGGTGATTCTCTTCTTATATTATGTTGAGGTGGACACTGGTACAGGTTTGACTGTATATCAATGGCCAGGTGGTGGTTCTTATGTACAGCTGGTTCTTATGTACAGGGTCGATTGTATCTTTCGGGAAAATAGAAATCAGCAAAAAAAAAACAGTCAGTGTATGACATATTCAAAAAGAGAGTCAACTTGTAGGAATACTGTACTGCTTCAGTTTGGGGAAAATAAAAAAATCAGTTGTCTTTAACTGATGATTTGGAACAAAGGAACACTATTGTCTATGATGTACATGAAAAGTAAGCCCACTTGTAAACATACTGTACAGCTTAGTCAGGTAAAAAACTGAAACTTACACAAACCTCCAGATGTTTTCCCTTGCACAATGATAGCCATATTTCCGTGAGAACAAAAGACAACTGTTACCAGCCTTCCAACCCAATACATTCTGCCAATCTTCTTTTCTTCTTCCATTTTCCCACTCTTTGATCAAGGTCGGCCTCCGATCTTAAATAGGACAAGTTCCTGCATGACTGGCCGACCAGAAAATTAGCAGGCTTAAGAGATAACTCGGAGTCTGACCACATTCTCAAGGAGTCTTGCAAGTCCTGCATATTTCATGTCCCGGCTATTTCCTCTGATGGTGCAATAACAACAGCCCATTTCACCACGGGACAAAATCCCACAACACTCTTTACACCCTCACCGAAGGATGATAGAATTTTGTATCATGAACTCTCAGAGTTTTCATTTTTACAGGCTGTTATGTGGACATTAGCAGAGTAATGGCAGGATTACAACATTGAAAGTGTCTGGTCTGGCCTGGTGCAGGGTTCGAACCCCTGGAGTAAAAGCCGAGGGCAGATGGTTACGGGACGACTCGGCGCATCAGATGACCAATCTCGGATGAATTTGTACCCAATAACGGTCTATACCTACGCGTGATCCCCCGATCTATGAAAAATTGGGCCCGGCGATGGAAACTGTAGACCGCGATCAGGACACGGCCAGAAGATCAATCAGCATGCCGGGGGAATTAGGGGGCATTGGGATCGGAAAATGCATGCAGGGCTTTGGTCAGATAGGAGGGTATTATCCTGCACAGCTGTAAGGGGCCAGACCCAAGCAGCTGATAACCAGAGCTGGGGGCACGATAAGGCCACAACAAGTTAACTTGTTGGTTTCTGGAATTAAAAAAAATGATGAACACTTTTAGAAAGAGGGCAATACAAAAACAGACGTGCACAGAGGTACAGACTTTGTCCTTAGACCCTGTTTGCATGTTGATATTCCAGTTCAGCACTATTGTCTGAAATCCAAGAACCAAGAAAAAAAATTAGATTGGTGTGGCCTGAGAAGAGCTCCCCACAAGGGGTGGGTCAGCCACAGAGGTAGACAAAACACTTTCTAGGCAGTATCAACATTACAGGCAGCAGGCTACCAGGGAGAGGGACACAGCCAATTAAACACCATCACCAGGACCAGTACACACACAGTAGGGTGGTCCACTCTCCCACACCTTACTGCTGGCTAGTCTCCACCAGACATCCTCTGGTGGCTGAAGAATACTGTAAATCCTAAATTTTTTTGTGATGATAAAATTTTTGTGCTTTTCTGTGGACCTCTTACTGCAAAATCACAAATGTGAGTTTTGTATTATTGCTGTACTACAGAATTGTTTCGAATATGAGTTTCAAATGTTGACTTTACTGCTTTTATTCCCTCACAAAACCAATATTTCAGCATCTGTAAACTGCAAGTCATTTTGACATCAGATTGCATATCATACTTCCCTTAAGGTATCTGGTGCATGTGCGTTACTTCCACAGCAAACATACATCTCTCTTATCAGTGGACTTCATGTTGAACGTCTGGTTATTTATTATCATTTTCTTAAACAAATTTGCTCAGTGCAAGGCCAAAAGACCACTTCTAGGCACTGAACTACATGCTGGTTTATGTCAGAATCAGATATATCATAATTGTGACAAGCTCGACTTACTGAAAGTGAAGACTATCTGACCCAATAGGAGAAGCAGGGGTTGCGAAGGCCACTCTGGAAAATTTTGCACCATTCCCAGAATGGTTTTGATCCACCTACAGCAAGAAAAAACCCTACTCTTTTCAAGTGTGGTGGGTTCTTTAATGTGCCCGAGTGCGACTCTCCTCATTCAGGGGTTTGTTCATAAGAAATGTGATGGGTGAAACATGCAACACAAACGTGTTCTGATTCTATTTCGTTAACCTTCAGGCATACAAACTATCCCAATCAAGATGATAAGAAGATGACAAGTATACTTGACCTTCTCCCTAACATCTTTATCAGTACAAATTTAGTGCCAAAAGGCTACATGAGCAGGGAGAGGATTAAAATATATTGTGTATGCACTCAGACAACAGTAATGGTGAAACACGCCACACCAGAACTACACAGACCCTGCATGTGGACCTTGACCCAAATGTACTTTAGCCAGACTTGAAATACTGGGTACATATGCATTTTCATGCACCTGAAATTGGAGCTGCACATAATTTTTTACTGTGGGTGCACTGGTGCTCCTTATATGTATGTAGATATTTGTGCAGGATTATGTAGTAAGGCATTATATTGCACTGTAAACCAGTATGCAGCATATTCTTGAGGCTTAAGTGTCAGAAACTTTGAAACTTTATTAGAATAACCATTAGCGGAAAATACTAAAACATTTATTTTTTCTGTTTAAAGTTTTACGGTGGTCATAGAAGTTCAAAACTTCAAGACATTCCCCATTGTTTTTGTTCAAATCTCTGTGCACCTCAAGTTTTATGTTAGGTGCACCGGTGCTCTGATTCCCAAAAATGAATTTCGAGCCCAGTACACAGACCCTCCACATGGACCTTGACCCAAATGCACTTCAGCCAGACTTTGTCTGTTTGCATTCTAACCTCTCCATGGTAGGTCTAATTCAATCTTTGCCTCATACATTACATTTCACACCACCAGTCACTCAGTATGCTGCCTGACAAGCACCCTGGTTTACCAACAGTCCCCAAGGCTACACTAATTCAACTTCTAGGTTCTTTGATTAACGCATGCAGCTTTATCCTTATCTGATTTGAAAATAATTACCATTCAGGATGTGGATGAACTCAAACTTGTTCATATTTTGGTATCAACACTTGAAGGAATTTTTTGCCTTCCTAGCTGTTACAGTTGTTCCATGTATAAATACTTAGTACATTAAAAGTTTAAAAATTCATTGTTGGAAATGTCAAACAGTCTGTTGTGTTGACTTTATGGTTCCTGTGTGCCTGTTTTTTTATCAGTCTTATCTTTATTTTGCCTGCCTGCTCAACTGATCTCCCACAAAAAACGGTGACCAAGAAATCAAGTTGGTGTGGCCTAAATGAGCATCACATTCTCACACTGTCCAAATCCAGACTTGGGTTTCCCACCCGGCACATTGGGAAGTCTGGTGGCAAAACCACAGCAGCATGGCAGCTAGCCAAAACAAGCCAGGGCCCAGACACTGTTGTTATTCCCCTAATCACACATCAAGTTACAGGGCAAGCTGATTGTTGCACTGGTTACCGCAAGGCCCACACCAATTCATTTTCTTAGTTCTCGGATAAAAAAAAAAGGAGATGGGGGTTCAAAGAGACGTAAAACATGAAAACAGAGCCTGAGGAGAAATTTTGGCACAGTTTCAGCAGGTGAATGTTGTCAGGCTCATGTTTGTCTTTGTCATCATTCATTCTGAACTCTTGCCTTGTTTTTGCCTTGGGATGTCATCCCAAGGCAAAAACAAGGCAAGATCATGTCATAGAGCCAAAGAAACAATTTGATGTAGCAGGCAAGCAGACATTACCACTGCTATCTGACCAGGGCTCATTATTTTTCTCTCCATTTCTGTTTTCATTCTTACCTCTTAAATGCTTCAACATGTCTGAGAGACAAGGAATCAAACTGGTGTGTCATTAAGGAAGCCTACTGTTACACTGATAGCCCACAAAGCTGCCTTACCCTGCAAATGGCCATGTGTTTGGTGGTGGGCTGTCTGTGGGTTGGCTGGACCGCCGGCTCTGGTTTCCCGCACCTGATGAGGTGGGCTGGTGGCTCTGCAATGGGTTTCCTGCACCTGATGAGGGGGGCTGGTGGCTCTGCATGGGGAACACCCCCAGTAGACAAGTCTGCTTCTGCTGACCCACTGCGATGTTGCCAGGGCAGAAGGAGATCATCAGGCTTGGCGCCATGACCTACCTGGTCTTGGCACCTTGTTGAGGAGGTGGCTGTCTCTTCAGACATGTTATCTAACTGTGGGGGTAGGGTCCCATCTAGGGGTCCCAACTGCAAATTGCTCCCAGCAAGTCTTTGTGGCTGGGGGCGGCTGAGTGCCTGGCTGTTGTGGGAGGGAGCCTCAGTCCCATGACTGGACTGGAGTGTTTGCACAGTGGTGTGTGACTCCTTTGTATACGACATGGCTCCTTCAAAAGAAGCAATGTCTTCACCATTCTGGTTATCCAAATCCTTTCCACGTAAGGTGCTTACACCCTCAGCACTACGCAACGCAACAGACAGCGAAGAAACTTCTTCAGCTTGATCTCTGGAAAGGTCTGAGCTTGTTTCTCCTCCATACCCTGCAGCTGACTCTTTCCCCTGGCAGTCACAAGCCTGCAGTGCCTGATGTGACAGCTCACTTGAATCAACATCTTCATGCTCCTCAACTTCTAAGGTGTTCCTGCCAATGCCTGTCTGTGATGAGACACTCCTGCATTGTGCAACAGCATCTCCTTGAGGCAAGGTACCGTTGGGATGCTGTGAATTTGAAGAAGAACATTTCCCAGCTTCTTTGCTGAGAAGTTGAATCCCATCTGTGCTAAACCCTGATGTCCCAACATCACCGCCTGCCTGTGATCCTCTTGATTGACAGGTGTCAGTCACCAGGTGCTGCATGGATGGCATAGATGGTTGATCAGGCATTTCGGAGACATTACTACAGTTGACCCCGCTGGTGGACAAGCTGTCAGTAGTTGTTATTGCCCTTCCCCTCCCACCGTGCAAAATCTGGAAAGAAATGGAAAGAGACTACATGACAATCTACATGACATGACAAATTACATACGGTTTTTATGTATCTTATATAAAAAAAGGCTTCACTTTATGTGTTAGGTAACTCTGTTACTGTTGTTCTTTTGAATGTGTCAAAACACAAAATGTCTTTTTTATGGTTTGAACATGTCAGAACACAAAATGTCTTTTATATGTCATATACATTGCAATACAAGATCAATTTGTTTTTCCTATCTCATACAAACTCCTGCATGAGATTTGGCATGTCAATAGAATATCAATTACAAAATGAAGATGGTTTGGCCTTAGGTTGACATGCTGGACCCACTGACCTGCTGGGTGGTTGTCTGTGAAGCAGTGGAGAGGTGAGATGGCGCCGGTCTGCTGTCCACTACACTGGCTGCTGAGAATGCAGTTGATGAAAGTTCCCTCTCACCCTGTGATGCATTGCCGAGTGCTGGCATGTCCTCCTCCCCACCTGCTGGCTGTCGTACCAGTTCAGCAGAATCCTCAGCAGTGAGTTTTGGGTCATTGTACACCTTGCTGTTGACCCCGACTGAACTACTGTGCTCACTGGTGCCCGGCTGGCCCTGTGTTGCAAAGGCACTGCTGGTAGTGGTCTGTTCTGTGGGCTGAGGCTCTGACTCAACTTCAGCATCACAAAAACCATTGTGGGCATTGTGGTTGCCCCGTGCGGTGGTAACAGCTTTGGTGGTAGAATATGATGGACTGTAATCTTCTTTTTGGATCCCAATGCTGTATACAGTTGACTGGAATGAACCCAACTGTCCCTGCTCCACTTTCTTAGTGGTAGCAGGCACAACTGAGGAGTTGACCTGCCAGTCTGCACCATGCTCAAACTGTCCACTGTCTTTACTTAGCTGCAGTCCCTCTACATTTGGAACTTCTTGACAAGCCTGGTCATAGGATGGTGGACTGAGGCCCTTCCCAGTGTCATCCTGGTCTTCATGTCTGCCATTGCAAAGACCATCAGTCTCAGTTTCCACTGCAGTTCCAAAGGCAAAGTTGTTTTGTGGTACCCCATTGGTCTCAGTACCACTGTGCTGCAGTGCCTCTGCCTTACCTGCAGAGTGAAGGCAATGATGGTCCACAACTACTTCTACCTGCCGTTGGTTGACACAGGTACCGTTGGCCTGATGTGTTGCAGCAAACGTTGCTATTGGACTGACAAAACACTGCAGTGGGATCTTACGAGGGACAATCCTTCTCCGTCCGAAACAACCAGCATCGCTGATGGGCAGGTCTCCATTTACAGCTTGTTTTGATGATGGTTTACTGTCTGGACAATGACCATTAGTGTCTTTGGCTGTTTCCACAAATTCTGTATCAAATGGATTTATTGTTTTAATTTCTTGATCTGGAAAGGCACAAGGCATCTGCACTTGTTCATCTACCGAATATTTGGTCCCTTTCGCATAGCAACTTTCGTTGCTGATGAAGTTTGATCTGTTGTTCTGACTGTCTTCATGAGTGGCTGTAGGGGGTGGAAATTCTTGTGAGCTGCTGTCAGAAACCTGGAGTGTTTTTTCCGCATGAGTGCTATTTGTGATGATTTGCTGAGATACAAAGTCTTCCCCTTCTTCTTCTACCAGTGCAGGAGTTTGGAGTGTGGATGTTCTGTTTTTGAAGTTTGGTCCACATGATGCATCCTCATTCAAGTCATGCTCTTCTCCTGAGAGGAAAGTCTTTGATCCTGACAGCATTGTAGTTGTCTCATTGGACTCTTTAACAGTAGAGGCGTCAGAATCACTTCCACTCGCATCCAGCGGTGGCCTCTGCCCGCCGAACCCATTTAGCAATTCCTTCAGGTTCTTTGTTGTTTCCTCCAAGATGGCTCCGCTGCTTGCAAGGTCGTCAATCTGTTTGTAAGTCCTTTTCTCCAGGAGCTCTAGGTCAGCCTCTGTACCTGAGGGAGGGTACCAGAAGTGTTCCTCCTCTTTCAGTAGGGCGTCATCCTCCTCCACGTCAATCAAACCCACGTCGATTCCACGGGAGTAAGGTGGTAAGGCCAAAAAGTCCTCCTCTGCTAGCAACTCTCTCTCCAGACTTTGGAAGCGACGGAACATTTCATCATCTTCAAACTTTGCAGAAGGTGAGGCTGGTGGGTGATTGCCGAGGATTCCCTCCTGAGTCCAAAGTGTGTTTGAGGAATGATAAGGTATTGATCTGCCGCTGCTGGCCTGGATGCCTTCCCAGCCTGATATTGCAGAATCTGGCACATCTCCGCTGTCAGTGGGTCCAGCACCATGTCGTAAATCTGCTGCTGCCTCAGGTCCACATAGCGAGGATGAAGAGTTGGCGAGCACTTCGCATCCATTTCCAGCATCTCCATCACCTGTTCCCATTCCAGAGCCATCAGCAAGTCCCTTCTGGACATAGCTCGAGGCAAACTGGTCCAGCATTTCTCCCCTGGTTACCACTTCAGTGGCCTGGTTATAGATGTTTTGCATGACCACTCCTGCGTTTCTGGTGGTGGGGATGCCCCCTGTTTCACACTCCGGGAGGTGTTTAGTGGTGACTAATGATCGGTGGCACTGTGTGCTGCCATTACCACTCGCCCCATTTGTCATCCTCCCATCACTGTCACTGTCCCCCGAGCTCCCCGACGTCCCCCTGTCACTCCCCGCTCCCGGTTGGCCCGTCGCGGTGGTGACAAATGACACCTGGCGTGCTGCCTCTGTATGATAGCCGTTATCTCCGGGTGCGGTGATAAATTCCGCTGCTCTGGAGCCGTGTCCCGAGTGCTTATCTGGGGATGTAGGCACACCTGACATTGGCCCCCTGTAATCGACATCTCCGATAAGACTGGCTGATGGATGAAGCTGCCTGATGCCTGGGCCATCCCCCTGGTGCCATAAAACATCACGACCGGTCATTTCCTCTTCATGCAACTGCCATCCTCTGGTGCTTAATGTCCCAGCCTGACTATGAAGGGATGATCCCACCCCCCTTGCAGAGCTGCTGAAACTATATCCGTCCCCTCCCTGTTGTGTCGTATCCACCAATCCTGAAACCCTTGACTCCAAGGAAGTGGGCTCATTCCCAAGAAGACCATTGCCATATCTCCGGAAAAAGTACTTCCTGTCTTCCTCTGATCTTTTGCACTGCTCTTCAGCAGGGAACTCATTTGTTGTCCTGTCTGCTGTGCATTCTGGCTCTCCCAGATCAAACCCCTGTACTGCATACTCAGCAGGACAGTCGTCTGTGGTAGCAAACAAGGCTGAAGATGCATCCTCAGAGCTCTCTTCCTCATGCCTTTCCTCCTTCCGACGACTTCCCGACTTTCCCCCTTTCCTCCTGTGGTCCTCTTCCCTGTACCCCAGTGTCGATAATGGGGTGCATTCATAACTACTCATGCCACTGTCCCACTCCATGGAGTCTGCTGCATTCTCCTCATCGTAACAGCTCAGCAGCAGGCTTGCGACGTCGACATCGTCTTCCCGTTCATCATACTCCTCTTCCTCGTAGCATCGTGCGCTGTCGCTCTTACTACTGCCGTTTGTCTGTCTCAGCTTGGAGACAAACGGGCTCGTTGTATCCATTACCTCCTGCAGGATCTCCAGGGTTCTGTCACTCAGGCCATACTTGCGATAGCCCTGGGCAGAGTCTGTGGATGAGTCATTCTCTAAAGACTTAAGCGCACTATCCCTTACAGCGCCTGCCTCCTCCTCTGTCTCCTTGTGGACTGAGTTCCTCGTAAATTCAGCATTTGATCCTGACTTCGTGTCTTGTCTGTGGTACCAGCTTGGATCTTCCTCCAGCTCATCTTGTTCCTTCGGGTGATCATCCTCCAGGGACATCAACAATGCCTCCTGGTCACTGGATATCCCGCTCTCCCTGCTGTGGTACATCTCCTCCTCTTGTGACACAAACTCGGCCCCAACTGGTCCTGCCTCCAGCTTGTCTGAAGCTACCAGGGGAAAAGCCATGCTACTTTTCCCTTCCTGAGCCTTCAGCAGTTCTGAGTCGGACTGAGTCAGCAGCGCAGAGCTCATCAGGTGGCCGGCAATCCTGCTGAATAGTTCCCTCTTGGACAGATTCAGAGCTTGCGGGACTGTGTGAATCTCGACAACCCCTAAAACATTGAGTCCCTCGTCAAGCGACATAGTCCTGTCTACCAGAACACCCTTGATAGTGGCAAACAAGTTGTTGTCTCTCATGTCACCGTTGTCCTCATCTAACAGAACTTCAGAGTCCAATGTCACTATGGCGGATGCCACAGATGAGGATTGGGATGTTTGTTTGTTGAAGTACAGCTCCTTACTTGGTTTACGGGGCTTCTGTGGGCCAATGTCGCTTGTTGAACGCCTGTTCCTACTGAACAGAGAGTCATCACTATAAGGGTTTAATGAGCAAGTGCTGTGCCTTTGGTCTGTGTACTTCTTTGGCATCCTCCTCTTTGGCCTGACGTCCCCATCACTGTGTGAAAGGCCCTTTTCTCCTTTCTGTTTCGCTCTCCGAACTTCAGTCTCAAAGTTGTGAGAAGCCTGCCTCCTAGTTTTCCTGAATTCTGCACTGCCATGCACAATGGACTCGTACTCTCCAGCGTCGAAGGGGATGACATCGGCGTCGGAGGGAAAGTCCTCAAGGTCCAAGGACGTGTCAGTCGACCCTGTGGCAACTTCGCTCAGCGTTGATGCAGAAGATGAGAGGTCGTAGCGCCCCACGGTGGTCTGGTACAGGCCCTGCTGGGGAGCAAAGCAGGCAATTCATTTAGTATAGAGAATTCTATCGTACAGCATACAAAGCAAAATGGTTCTACCGTCTTTTTTTAAATTTTAAATCAAAGGATACACTAATAGGTGCATTGAAAATTCTGGACCAGGAGTAAATCGATATGCAAATACATGTAGTTGTGTTTACCAGGTATACATAATGTATGTATATTACTGTTGGACAAAGTGAATTAGCAATATTGGACTAAATTGAATGCATTTCAATGATACATGTATCTATAATGTGTATTCAAAGTTCTTTAAACGCATGATGCTAGGCTGGCAACTATTTCACCTAAAGGGCTCCAGCCTGCTGAAAGTAGTTAACAATGGAAATATATATGTACCATGAACAGTTTTGCCTAACTATAAGTACCCTGATGAGAGTTTTATTTGCCTAACTGTTGGCCTGAGGCTGATCCTGCCCTGATCCCACTGTGATTGAAAAGAGCACATTATCCATCTTCTTCAGCTGCCAGATCGCTATGAACTGGGAAACAAGAGCTTTGATATACTTATTGGAGTAAATGCTCATGTACAGAAATCCATTCCATAACATGCATTTTTCACGTAAACTAGAAGAAGCGGAACGTTTATCATGATGTACCCCTGGCCTTGGGGTACTTTGGGACTGGGAGAAAGAGCAGGCCTGCCAGCAACAAATGTTTTGTACCTGATCCATTATCGTGCCGTGAAATATCAACAGAAATATCCCATTGGAACCACACCATAACAAATGGGCTGTCAATAAAGCACTCATAACACCGTGCATTCCTACATGAGACAATGAGCGGTGTGTCTGCGTCGATTAGTATCAGGACTGCTGTGCAATTTTGCCGGAACAGCGACTGGAACGTCAACGAAATGTCAAGGCGAGAACTTTGACCTTCAAACGCTGCCGCTCGCCCTCCTCAAGCCTGAACCATGGCCCCTGCTACGGGCTCAGGCACGAATAACCCAACACTATTTACAGTACTTTATGATCCATACCGATTCTCCCTTAATACCAAGCGAAAACGGAGGCTGGTTGGGTCAGGCCCAAGCTGAAGACGGAGGCTTCCCCATCCGTCATGCGACCTTCATATTGTCATCAGACTCAAATGAGCAATCTCCAGCCCGTGCCTCGGGCATAATATTTCATTCTCGGGCCAACCTGTCGTTGATTTTGACCCAACGCAGCAGCGCCCTGCCTCGTGAGGAAGCAATTTCCCAGCACATCTTTTCCTGCCTAAATCATCAGCCACTCGGCGGATTTTTCTGTGGTTGAAGAGGCTCTTGATGAATGCTCGCAACTTTTTCAAGACCTTATAGACTTTGAGATGATGAAATATTAACACGTCTGGGTTATCTTATCATGTTTCTGCACTGCTTTCTTTGGGGCTCCATCTCTGTCATTCTGATCAAACAGTTGTTTAAAAGGCAAAACAATTTCATTCTTCAGCCAAATAACCTGAAATTTGGCATGGGGAACTTCTTGATGAATGAGTAAACTTTTCATAAAGCTCCAAGACTTTAGAACGTTGAATTATCAAATCTGACTAATCTGATATTTAGTAGATTTATTTGTTCTCGGGCAGAATTAATCCCTCATACGTGGTGCACTAATCCATGCAAGATTACAGTCAAGTCTTTTGTGTTGTGTCAGAACTTCTGATTCCCTTACATCTGCAACAAAAGACTGATTACACTTTGATGACATTTAGTCAATTCAAGTGGAGTTCCCTGCTTTGTTGCCCCACGTTGGTTGGTAAAATGATTGAAACACTTGTTTTGTAACATCAAATCCTCTTACTATTATACCATACTAATCCCTTCACCTCAAATCCCTGTGGAGATATAATGGTCATTGTATCCATTGGCCCAGAGCTGGTTAGTTACGCTGTTTGACTTTCTGGATGTGCAATACAGAAACAGTTAGAAGGCAATTTGGAGCCCTATATGTAGCTCTATAAAATCTACAGTTGCAGAGCCTCCCCTAACATAGCTTGTGCTTTCATGTAGCAACACTAAATATTGTACAGTGGAACTCGTTGCAACCAAGTACAGTAGGAGCAACCTCATCCAGCTAAGTATAGAACTGTAGTACTGGAACGTTAACAGATAAGTATAAAACTCTGGTACTGGAATAGCTAAGTACCGAACTGTGGTACTGGAACAGCTAACTACAGAACAGTGGTACTGGAACAGCTGAGTACAGAACTGTGGTATGGGAACAGCTAAGTACAGAACAGTGGTACAACGACAGCTATGTACAGAACTACATGGTAATGAAACAGTTACAGAGTTTAGCTCCACTTACTCTGTATGTGCAGAGCCTCTCCTCCAGACGGCACTGCATGTCGATGGCCTGCATGCAGATGGCGTCCCAGCGCCGCTCCAGGTTGATGGCGGCGAGCTGCAGCGCCTCCTTCTCCTCGTACGTCCGGCAGGCGTTGCAGTCGTCCTCCAGCTTCTCACACAGCTCCAGTACGGACGCGATGCTCGGGGCGTGCGCCTCGATGTCCACCTGGAGGGCCTGCACACGATGAAGACGAAATGTCAGCATTTACTTCTAACGTTTACAGTCAAACCTGGACTAGTACCCATCTACACAGGCAACACCTGACAATTAATAAAAAAAAAACAATAACAGTTCCCTGGAGTATATTTCTAACAAAATTTCACACATGCACACACACAAAAATTAACAAACAACTTCAAAATGTTCCCCATTTTTCAAACTTTGAGAGGACTATCAAATTTGTGAATGTCATGGTGTGGGAGGCAGACAGTGTTTGTTTGATCAAAGAGACTGTGACATAAAGTCTGCCTAACTGTGTAAACAGTCATAACCCATGGAGATATTGGGAGGGACTACATTTTGTACCTTCACAATACTGTAAATCTTGAAGTGGTTTTCGAAGGTTTAAACTTTTTGTGACCTCTCCAATGCAAATACATGACATTGTGAATATGCAATTCCAATGTATGACTTCTGCGAGACACAATTGTTTTTTTTTCTTGGAACACAAAACCTCTTGTTCCTTCTACTGCAAACTTACGTCCCTATGAAAATAAATGAATTTACAGTATTGATTGTGCTACCAGATACTGCAGGAAAAACAGCAATAAATCTTTTTTTTTTCAAATTTCTTCATCATTTTCTTTTCTAGCTAACTGAAGATTCATTTATTTAAAGCCAACATCGTTCATCTTTTTAAAGGCAAATAATTTCTCCCTTTCGCACGAACAACGCTCTGTTGTAGGATTCCTGGCGACATAAACCATGAACAGTTCATGTGCAAATGGAGGATAACAGGTGACAGTGCTGGATATTGAGTACCGGCGAATTTACGACTGATAAATACGTTTATGTTGCAACCTTATTGAAATCCAGCCGATAGTATCTAATTTCCGCTATATCACCATTCGGGCTACAAAACTGCCAGAGCAGAAGGGACGACCTATTAATCAGCATAGTAAGAGTTAAAGAATATGACTAACTCTGCTACCATCCCTGGGAAAGTCATTAACCACACAAACCTACGGCATAGAAGTGTATCATTCCACTGCACTCTATACAATAATGATAATCCTGTTTGATATCAGCACCTGACCAGACTGCTTTGGGCAATGGTGCTAAGTTTGTCAGAACTTTGGGGCAATATTTCTGCTAGACGCCTTCTTCTGCAATGGAAGTCTAGATGAATTGACTAAAAAGCATTCAATTTGTGCGTCCAAATGCTACCATACCTAAAAAATAGTTTACATGTCCGAGGAGAAGGGAAATAGTACCGAATGTGAAAATTGTCTTATGTCTGTTTGGAGTTATTTTACCTCCGTAAAGAAAATGGAGGTTTGTTTTTTCCTGTGTTTGTTTGTTTCCACATGGCCCATTGGTGTAGGTTGTAAATGGATATAATTGGGCTCTGTATGTGTTTCTGTGCGAGAAAGTCATTAATCACTTCATCTCACTTGTTATTTTTACAGGTGTTTTTGGTACATGACCTGTTGACAGCTGATGCTTTTCCTTTGCATGATAAAGAAGGGGATTGAAAATGTGTTACCATGCATCAGTAGTTTTCTAGTAGCCCTTTTTTTGGTGAGAGATTTTCAATCCCTCCTAAAAAGTCATGACTTGTAAATATCATGGTTTCATGGAGATCTGAGATCTCTGAATTCTTGTTAGTTGTAGCCCTGACAGTGCCTTCCTTACCTGGTGCTGTTTGAGCCTGACCTCAAGGTCCTCCACCCCACTGATGTTGTAGATATCATTTACAAACATTTTGGCCTCCATGTCAGATAGCCAGGCCTGCAGGTGCTCTATACTGGCTTCCAGGGCAGCTGGGGAGGGGGACAGAACAGAACAACAGTTAGAACTGGGTTCAAGGTGGTCATGTGGGAAGGTGGGGTACATAACATAAGGTAGTTACAAGTCAAATACAGTTAACAATTGTTGCCTAAAAGAGTCTTCTTCATGTTCACCTGCCTAACTCTTTATCTCCCTAACAGCAAGATTTTGCTGCTACTGTGATGCCCCCTATCACACAAGACTGAAAGAGCAGATTATTGTGTCCCATCTTGGGAAGCCTTCTCACTGCATGGACAGCCCTACCATTTAAGGAAACTGAACAGTCAGGACCAGTCAGTGTCTTCAACATGCCTAACATGTGGAAATACCGGTAATTATGAAAACAGGAGCAACCACACTTGGTGAAACATAGTGTATAATGTACATGTACACGCACACGTAACAGCATAAGCAAGGCCCTCATTCTCATGTTTTGACAGACCATATGTTTCCAAGTTCAGTGACACCTCGTTTATTTACTTTCCTTGATGCCTTTGACTCCCCATAAAGGCTTCCCCTGGTGCCCAGGGCCTCTCTTGCCAAAGTAACCACCTCAGGAGGTTGTAGCAATCTTGTAGTGTACACCTGACACTCATCACACTTTGTAGCAAGGGAACCTTATAGCAGTACATGTGGCGAACAACGCTCAGTACACAACAGGTACTGCACTAATCTCACAATGTCTTCAGTAATCCACACCCTGCTTTTTGTAAGTGTCACGTACAGGGAAAATTATCCACAGGGTCTTTACATTGTTTTTCCAATTCCAACCAAGCAAATGTATCCTTTGTTAAGGTCATTGTTGTTGGAAATGGTATGGTTTGGGTTAAGGAGTCCCAGTCTTGTCCTCCTCCCTCTTCTTTCAAGTGTTTTCTAAAATTCTAAAGCAGCCTGACCAATGGACTGATCCCATTGGTGCATGCATCTTGGTAGAAATTTTAAATGTGAAACTAAATCAAAGAAATGCAAAGCAAATATGTAGAAATGCTAAAATTTTACTGATATGCATTAATATGTACTCTGTCTTTTGTTAGTTGTCTCTTTTGACAGACAGCCATTATCCCTGTCATCTGTACACTGTTAAGTAGGTAACACAGCACTTGTTACTACCACACTCCTAACTGTGACTTTGAAGTCTGGCACAAACAAGAAGGGTTCCTTGTGTTCTAGCCCCAGTCCTGCAGAGCTCATCTCAATCAATCTCCTTCCCCACAACATGACACTAAAAGGACATGAAAGAAACTCTTGCTGCCTACAGTCCTGTACCCAGCATCAGATGAGACCCAGGTGTAGCCTGCCAGGAGTGCCCCACCATAAATATCAGTCGCAACACTTTATGTTACCTAATAAGGGACGGCACCCAGGTGTAGCACCAGGAGCATGCCTCCCTCCTATGACCCAATGCCCTTATTCAGCTCTTAAAACAGAGCAAAACATCACACCTGCCAACTGTCACTACTTTCTTTTAGTCCGTTTTAGAGCCAGTACAGACTAGTTTGACTGCACAGATAAATCCTACAGGTGTGTTCACAGGTGTGTGCACAGGTAACTACCACAGGTGTGTGCACAGATGGTAAACCTAGCTGGACAAACTTCCCCATCTTCCTGACATGCTCTCATTTATCACCTTGCAACATGATGTTTTCCCCCACCTGACATCCATCAAGTGTCATGGAGCACTGGGTTGTTCAAATATTGCTACATGTGGTTACCATGGTAATGGGTTTAATGCAGTGTCAGCATGTGTGAAGTCTCTCAGCTCTTCCCAGTTCCTGTTGATGGATTTACCACTGACTAACCTTTTTTCCAGGCTTCTATGTGGTGATAGCGCCTGCAAGTAAAGTTTTTTTTATTTGATCACATTGGTGACTTTCTAAAAAGACTGAAACTGAGCATCTATTTGAAAATACAGTTTGCATTACGTCAAATTTCTTAATAATTGTAACAGATGTGAATCAATACAACAGTTATGAGCTTGTTTCATATTCTAAGAGACCCAAGCTTGTCATTTTTGTTTGACAATTCCTGGTATCCAATAGATGACAACATTTGAACATTTGCACACAGAGTGCGGCTCAACAAGTGGATTTCAAGTTCTCTACCTAACAGTAAAACCTGTGTCCAGTCTTTTGTTGCAGGTGAACATGTGGAATGTAGGTAATTCATCTTTTCCCACTGACCCTGCCTTTCGTTCTGCTCTTATTCTTGTAACCTCAGAGCTGTCCTGAATCAACAGCAGAGTGTCTTTCCTTTCAAACCTGTTCTCAAGATCCCCCTATATCAAGTCAAGGATAAAAACTGCTGCATCAGCCCTACTGCAGGCACCCTGGAAGGCTGTGAAGCTCCTTTGTTATCACAGAAAGTTATAGAAAGTTGTTTGTCCCTTACATTTAGTTGATTTAATTTCAATTTTCATTTTCCAATCCTTCAGTGCCCTATCTAAATCTAAATTGATTAGTGCTACATTTGTATTTCCTGAGGCAAACCAAATCATGCACCCCCGAAGCAGCCCTACTGTGAGAACCCTTGAGCAATTGTGTAGTTCCTTTGTTTCTGCAGAGATTTACCCTTAGCCCCTGCGACCCTGACCATGGTGAGACATGTAACAAGGTAACCAGACAAGGGTCTCCCTTACAACTACCTGTAACAGATCCCTCTGCCTATACACGACCAACAATGGGGAAAATTGGGCTATTTAAAAAAGGCTGCAACAGCTTGGCTGTGGTTTACTCATGCCAAAATCCGGCCGATCAGACACTACAGGTTGCTTTTGTTGGGCGAGGGGAATGTGTTCATAATAAATGGAAAATTTTCATTCAAACAGCCAGTGAATGGACTTCAAAGCTTTCTTTCTTCAACTCACTACAGCATGGAGAAATGTTGACATAATTTGTCGCCATTCAACAATGCTCTTAACATTCCAAACACCCAGTCAATTCAGGATCATAATCTCTGTCATGGTTTTGGTACATTTAGAAACATTATACAATGTAAGTGAAAGTAGACAAATAAGTGAAAGTAGACAGAACTGGTACTTGGACAGCATAACTTTTACCGAAGCAGCAATGGTAGTAATATGGATTACCAGTTACATATTAAAACTTCAATCAAGATTGCATGAAAATACACGGTATCAAGTTTTTAAAAGCACAATGAATAAACTTACTGGTAGAGCTCAAAATAGAATATAACAATTATACTTGACCAATCTTGTTAAGTCATAGAATACTCAAAATTCATGTTCAAATTGGAAATAGTCTTGCGTACCGAGCACCATTTCGTTCTCCCCCGGTGGCGTGATGCCGCCCTCGTGAGCGAGGTTCACCCGCAGAAGGTCCCACTTCTTGGTGATGGTGAGGAGCTTGTCGCTGATGTCAGAGAAAAGGTCGGGGTAGGCCGCCTTCAGACGCTCCCCCTTCTGCAGGAAGGTGTCTCGCCTGCGCTGGTACAGCCCCATCTCAATCTCATAGCTCTGCAGAACAAGATCTTTTGGTTAACATCTTACTACATGTTTTAACATAAAAGTTCATCAGTCTGCCTATGTGGAAGAAAAATGCAGAAAAACTACACTGTATACCCAGCATTGCAATGGAATGGACTATGGGTAAAGCCATTTCTTTACCATGTTGGATCCACAGTTCGCGTGTAATCAACACATTTGCTACAATGTACATGTTGTAAAAAGGCATTGCGTCTTCTCCAAATGGTATAGGAGAAGTTAAAATTGAAACCTCTTATGTTTGCTTCCGCTGAAAACACCCACTAGAGCTCATACCTGGAGGTCTGCCATGTTGGCAGACAGGATTTCGGCTGCCGACAGTTCCTGTGTTGTTAAATCCCTCCCAAAGCCAGGCTGACTACACCGGCACGACTACCAAAACACTGCGTGACTACCACCAGGCTCGCACCACCTGAGCCAGCTGGGGGATCAGGTTACCAGGGGCGGGGCATAGTGTTCTAATTATATGCAGCATGAGTGGGGGGGTGTTCCTTCCCGCAGACCTGTTAACTAAATACTGTCATTTCTACCTTGGAAACTGGAGATCAAAGTAACATCAAAATGATGCCAACATGTCAGGTGTGGATGAACAGATAAGTTTCTTCAATATCTAATTTCTTTGTCTAAGGGTATCCTGTTACATAACAGCCCAATCAAAGGCTATGACAGAGTCTTTCAGGCTTTGCTGGCTGCTATTGGACAGGTGTTTGAGTGACTGACAGGTGGGCAGGACAAACAGGTGGAAGAATCTGTACATACAGGTCTAATTTGGGTATTGTTACAAGAGGTGAGGATTTAACAGCCTTTTATCTAGTCAGATTCTATTTCATGAAGGTTATTTCACATATACATTCAGTTTTCTACATTCTGGGACAAAAGTCTAACAGATCCTCATAAAAAAGGAATTTTTATCTGTAAGTTAAAGTGAGGGTTGATCTGAAGGTGTTAACCTTCATAGCTGTTTGGCACCAAATACATTTCATCTAAGCATTGATATGTCATCTCACAAACAAACAAACAAACAAACATGCTACTCGTACCTTACAGAGATGTTTGATCTGCTCCTCAGACATCATGAGGTCGTCCCTGTCGGTGAGGACACCCTCAATCTCCCCCAGCCACTCCGCCAGCTCCTGGTGCTGTGTGTGGAAGTCTGACAGCTCGTAGCTGTGCGCCCCTGCCCCCGGGGGGGAACCATGGGGGGACAGGAGCAGGCCGTCCTCGGGGGACAAGCTCAGCAGATCCCAGCTGGGGAAGAGGTTGAAAAAAATGTTTTCTTCCATACATGTCACAGGGTACTGACTTGGGTTCAAAAATACTTACATAATTATCACATAAACGTTGTTGTGCATTAAGAATATTTGACTGTACATTGAAAAAGGTTAGGCAACACCTTCTTCTCATGCAGAAGTTAAACACCTGAAGCTAATTATCATTAATACCCAGTAAGGCCCTTTCCATTCAGTTTAACATAACATCAACTCACATGATGTTATGTTAAACAAAGCATGGATTTATTGAGAATAGTAAAGGTGATCATATGTAGGTATTAAAATGAGCAGTAGTGAAGCCACATCGTACTGTCCGATATCAAAAAAGTATGATATGTTTTTCAAGACTTGCGTTTTCAGACTGATGGAAAGAAGGAAAGGAACACTTCTAAGGATCAGCCAAATATTCTATCAGCCTGTAATCTGACCAGCAGACAGATGGGGTGGAGGGAATGTTCCCCTGGTTGGTACTTACTTCTAATGTGTCAGGCCAAATGGAACGTATGTTATGGTGCTAATTAATTCTGGCCCATTTCTGTGTAGGAAATTAAAAATGTTCATTTCAAAAGTGATCTATTATTAGAAATCTTCCATCTATATCTAAGTAGCAAATTCCTTCAAATTGAGAAGAATCTGTGAGCACTTCATTAGTGAAAATGAGTGATTGGCTCATAACTGTGTCAAAGAAAATGATCAAATGTCATAAAGAGGTCCATTTCAATCTATTTCTTTCCCTTGGACTTGTATTGAGATTTTCAGGAATGTTCATCATATAATTATCCTACACATGTACATACAATAATAAACACAATATTGCCTTATAAAATATTCATGTGTGAAAATGTCTTATTTTCCCTCATGCCATATTAAAACTACAACAGATGTTGAAAGGAAGAAAATTTGGGTCCAAACTCATTGTGTTAAATTACGCGTTCAGTCTCCATAAGATAGCTTTCATTTACTTTATTCAACAATTTGGCCTTTTGTGTTTGACATTTTAGATCATTATTCTACATTTTTGGTTTAACTTTAATCCACAATTTGTGGAAGATGAGTCTGTTTATGAGATTGTACATCGTGTTTCTGTGTAAAAGTTCAAGTGAAAAATGAGACTCGTCTTCCAGCAATCAGCGGAAGGTCAGCTGGGATTTGCCAGACGACTGCGCACCTGCCTGCCAGCACAGTCTGTCATCATTTCCCACCATCAATATTTAATGAGGAGCAAATTGATATGACCGCAATTTTCCCAGGTAAACCACATCGTCATTTGTTGCATGCGTAGTCCAGTGGTTAGTGACCCTGCCTCTCGACCAAGAGGCCATGAGTTTGAATCCCGGTTGTTGCTGAAATGCATGCAACTCGAAAGGGATGCTGTCCCTAGGACAATCCATGGTTCACTGTTCATTGCAAATGTGGAAAAAGAGCTAGGAGAATCTAAGGTTTCCAGAGGATGTTTTCAACATAATATTTTCTATTTCTCAGGTGTGCAGCTAATAAGTTTCTACGGTAAATCTTCTCGGTGGGCAGATTCTTGAAGTTACTGGGTCAAAGCAAACAGTTTACGTAAACACAGAGTTGGTAACACCTCATTACCAAATCAACAACATCACGCCAGTCCATCTGGGTTATGTAGCAACACCATATTGCCATGATTATAATCCTATACAGATTTAGTGGTGTGGTTGCAACATAATGTTTTTTGGTTTGTGGCTATTATGTGTGGTAAAATCTACTAACATAATTTCACCAGTTCATCTATATCCTCCACCCTGAAAAATGTCACTATCTAAACAGATATCCAATACAACACCCCTCAGTATAGTGCATGCCTAGGGGGTGCTGCACTAGACTAGATCTCAGACCATTTTTTGAGGTGAAGGATTTATGTTACCTGGTAGGTAAACGGTAATGGAGGTTACAAATACATTCCTACTCATTGAAAGAAAATTGGTACTATTCTATGCCACTTGTCCAAACCTTGCAGTAGATGAAGCTAACCCTTTTCAAATAAACATTACAGTACTAGCATTTTTAACATCATTCATGTTTGGAAAGGCAAACATTCAGAGAGTAGCTTGGGGAAAGGCCACAGCAATTTGGGCTGAAGTTGTTGAAAAGTGTAAGAATTTTGTTTGCCATATTTAAAAGTTAATGTTATGTCAAAGGAGAGCTGTCATCCAACACACTAACATACTCCACTGCACTTACTGTAGTAAATAGTTAGGGTTATAAACAAAATCTACCAATTTGCAAATGGTAAACGAAAGAATTTCAAAATCTTTTAACACTTCCACTCCTAGCATCAGCCTAGCAACAGCAGCAGCTGAATGGAAATAGCCACATGCTACCATAAGAAATAAAAGCCAAAAAAGTTGAAACTGATTTTCAGCTGACCTCTCCTCTGCCAGCTCCTCCAGGTGGAACCTCACCACAGAGTTGACCTTGATGTCCGTGGGACTGTCGCTGACCCCTGACCCTGACAGCTTCAGTGACATCTCCTCCATGGCATCCTGGGCCGTCTCCATGGCAACCGCCTCCTTCAGATCCTGCAGGAGCAAAAATTCATACTTTTCAGCCCTCTTTTGTTCTATACATCTATGCCACATTTATTTTATCTTTGGAATGAAGACAGACTGATGGGATTAAGCTTAGTTTTCACAGTCAGAAAATTTCTATGAATGAACAGAAGAGACCACAACATAAAAGGTGAAAGGTTATGACCTGTATCACCCCATGTCAAGGGTTATTCCAGAGTTATCCAGACTGAATCCATATTTAAACTGTTGATTCTCACTTGAACATCATCCTGCACTGACATTTCCCAGGCCAAATAGGGACAAGGGTCCCAGTAATCTGAACTACCCCAGGGGAAGATTACATGTAGTTTCCGCTTATCTCAGCTAAATCGCTCTAGATCAATGCTGTATCAAAAACTGAGGAATGCTGACATATAAAAAACTTATGAATTTGACAACCTATTCAACCTCATAAGACTTGTCAGAAAGTGGAGAATATTGTAGAACAGTTACTGTTTTCCAAAGTCTGGAGCTTGCGTTCAGGTGCTGAGAAGAAATGTTGTGCCAGACAGTGTGACTCACTGCGTAAACCACGGAAACAACACACTTCACTAAGCATGGTTGAACAAGTTCATAAAAATGATCTAGTAGACAAGCAACCAGCAAAACTATCATAAATCCAGAACTGTGATCATTGTACTGTACAGATGTAGCAACTGATTCTCACAACCACTTGACTCAGAACATAACAGTTGCTTCAGAATCTACTAATTGATCTAGCTACTGACACCAACTGAACATTGCCATGAACAAAGAAATATTTGTAGATGTCACAACAAACACATTCCCTGGTACACTTACTGAAAAATGTTTTCTCTGCAGGTGCTATCTCTTTCCTACCACCCACAAGAAGCCTTACCTTTGTCTATCCAACAGTTTATGCCCAGAAATTTGAAGACAATGTTTACCAGCACACAATTCTCCCACCCGCCATGACTGTTGCTCTCCTGAACATGTGTTGTGCATCACTCACTTCCTTGGCAGCAGGAAACCTTTACGTCATGGCGACCAACCTTTAACTTAAGATCCCCTCAAGGCCTGTTGGCATGCAACACTGCCTCCGACAACTTAACATTGGTACTATAATAGTGTGTAGGAAAATTACAGAAACTTGGTCATGCTGCATAGGAAAATACATTTAGGAAATGCCTAGATCTTAAAAATCATACCCTTTTGTAGCCATTGCATTGATGTTAATTTTTTTTCTTTTCTTGTTGATATCATTTAGACAGCCATACAAATGCCCCTATGCTTCTGTTGTGTCAATAGAGCATCTGTACATGAATAAGCTTTAAACACAAGCTACAACATGGGGATATTTACAATAGGTTTATAAAGGTTTTTGCAGAACCAATGTTCTGAATGGAGACAAATAAATAGACTAGTCTGGTTACTTCAACTGAAGAGCCAATGAAGGTCTGTTGGCATGCAACAAATACAGTCTTCTATTTATCGACTTAGGCTACATATCCACAGGCCATCATGATATAACATTACATACAGGTGGCAGACTATATGTGGGGATGTCTACAAATGGTTTAAAAAGTTTTTGTGGAACCAATTTACAAAGAGATACACTGATTATACTAATCAGACCAGACCTCCTGTCATAGTTTTAAGACCCCTATGGTTACCTAAAACTAGAACATCCCCCCAGGTAATAGCTACATGTACATTCCATAAACAAACACTTTCCACTCCCTCTCCAACCACTGAAAGAAGCCTGTCTGGCCCAGGTATGGAATTTACATATCCACAGAAGCTGAAAATGTTTTTCATCAAAATACAGAGAAATCACCTGTGTTCCTGTTTTTTTTTGTCAGCAGGTGTGATGTCTGTCACTGACACCGGGACGCTACAGCACACGCTAACCACCAACACATTGTCTCATCTCCCACAAACCAATAACAATTGTGTTTAAAGTGCGTCACCCTATTTAAAGAGTCCTGCGGCGGTTTGAATCCTGCAAAAACAAAACAGGACACACCTTTGCTGTCTGACGGCTACCATTACAGGCATTATAGGGGAGTGCCGAGTTCTGAGCCATTGATTGTTAAACACAGACCTGTAACTGATGCAGAACACTGGAGTTTCACTGAATGACTTCAGGACAACAATGGCAGTCAAAGGTCAGCATTGGATTCTAAAGAGAACACTGCTCTCAGAGGCTCATACTGAATAGCATACAATGGCACATCCTTAGAATTTTCCCTTTTACCTGTTAGCAGAAACTCTTTAACTAGTTTAAGCCTTAAGTTACAATCAGAAGTGCCACTGACTTCCTTGAAAAAGCTTCTGTAGTGTTACACCCACCTGAGGGCATGTTCAACTTAAGAGATTTCCTGACACATATGTTCTATGTCATAATATGTGTAGTGTGTACTTTTTCTACAAAGTAAGCATACATACTATAGGAAACAGTCATAGATTCATGGACACTGTTGTAACCACATTGAACTGATAGCAAGGACATTATACCATGCATACTGCTATGTCCTTGCTGCTAGCATAGAAAGAAATTGGTTACTTTGCATGGCCAGGGCCACTTTCAAAAAAACTCTAAGAAACTTATTTTTTGTTTGACATCATCACAAACTGAGATTTGGGCTGTGTCTCCCTTAGTCTAAAGACAAAGTTGTCTGACTTGAAAGTGTGCCAAACAAAGCCAGAGCTAGTAGGTTGAGTGATCATCTCATTAAGGCCTGATACTACATGCCACACAATAGAACATAATTTACACACAACAGGTACAATGAAGATGCACTGCCAACATGGTGGAGATCTTTGATTTCTGTTGACCTACAAACAAAGCTTTGATACTTGAAAGCCAAAGAGATTTAGAAAACTGCATAATCATCATCATAACAACAACATAATCTTACTACAAAAGACAGGCTGACAGAAGTGCTGTGACTCCCCAGTGTTTACAATGAAGGATGATTGTTTGGTGCAAGCATGGTTGACTACAGAACTAGTCTGAAGGGTAAAACAGATTAAGAAACTGGTTCATTAACTTGTTAACTTAAGGCAACATGTTATAGTAACTACAACTCTAACAACACAGACAAGTTGATGTAAATAATGACACTGCAGCAGTGTTGTTAAATGAACAACAATTATGGTTCAAGCATGGTTGCCTACAGAACTAGTCTACCTTGCAGAAATGTAGAAAGACAAGCTGAAGACCTCACCTCTCCGTTTGCGCCATCACCACGTGGCGCGGTGAGGTCCATTCGGAAGGACTCGAGCGCCAGGCTGATGGCGCGGTGCTGCTGGTTGACTGCCCTGACCAGCTGAGCCCACCGCTCCTCTATTGTGTGCAGGACGGCCTCCAGGGCAGGCCTCTGTGTGTGGAGCGACCCGGCCAGATGATGCCCCTCCTTCACCACAGCACTGCGCAGGACAGCGTTGGTGTCAATCTGCATCTTAAATGCCTGGTGGGGCAGGGGAGTGAAAGGGGTCAGTGGAGTGGGTGGGTTGGCAGGGATTCACCACAATAACAGAGTATTATGTTTTACTATCTGGTACATCTGGTAACACATAGGCCACTACTGTAACAATATTTAATCTTGGTTCAAAAGTGATTACCAACTGAAATCTTGTTGCTAAGCATTGCTTCATGATTTTACTTGGATTTTGCAAAGTAAACTTGAATTATACCTGTAGGAATCATGACTGTGTCAACAACAAAGGGACATCATTGTATCCACTGTTTAGGATGTGGGTGTCTGGTAGATAAGATGGTATACATTCTATCCTTGGTTGTCAAAAAGTAGGATTGTTTAAGCAAGAGAGCAACATAAAAACAGAAGCTTGAGAGGAAAACTCAAATAACTGTATTTGCTCTCTGAAATACTCAAAACTGTGTGACTCAAGCTACAGACTTTCCCATCTGACTCTAGTTTCCCCGATCATTATACATGTATTTCAATTTATCAGCACTTTACCATCTTCTTTCTGAATCTGAGGACCAACTACTTTGATTGGGGAGGCCTAAACTAGGAGAACAAATGGTCTGACCCATGAAAACATCCCAGGTCAACAAGGAGGAGAGTCATCTTCCACTGTACATGTTATATACATTGTATGTAGGCTCAGAAACAACAAAGGGGAATATTTGAGTGGGGGACATCTGGTGACCACCTTTGTCATACATGGGCCACTCCAATTTATTGACTTGGTTGTTGGATTGTTCAAAATAATTTCAAACTGAGGTGAGTATACAAAACAAAGCCTGAGGAGAAAAAACATTGAGAGGAATATCTTTAATATGCGCATGCACCAGTGGGCATTTCAGTAAGCTTCGGTATCTTGGGAAGACCCTTGGTCTTTGTTTCCATTTTGCTCTTTCGCCTTACTTTACGTTTTACAACAATAAAATGCCTAGAACCAAGGACATGACTTGGTGAGGCCCAAAATATCATGAATGAGAAAAGAGCAGATACTACATGTACCATTATTTTCATAAAGAGCATGAAAAATGCCACAGATCATGTGATTATTTAGTTACAGCACATGACCAAGGACAAAGCTAGGATAGGAGCTGATCTGGGCCAGAGCCAGATGTGCACTTTCAACATTGATTTAATAGAACAAAAGGTAGCTTCCACCATGTACCAGGCCTTCCTATTATCATTAAGGGTTATGGATATCAAAATTTGCCAAAAATATGGTGAATAATTGGCTAGGGCCCGTACAGTTTACAAAGAATCCAGAGGAATACATGCACAAGTATATCTACAAAGTTTTGAAACAATAGTTTCTGACTTGTTTGTGCCCTATTTCTATACAAATCAAACAGATCCATCAGTTAGGCAAAACGTGAAAAGTCAACCAAATCATCAAAGTATATCCCAAATAACACTTTATAAGCCCTAATAACAATTCATAAGTAACTGAATTTGATTTGAACCTTACAATATTTGCAGGATATATTATGACATTTGTGTAAAATTTTCTAATATAGGCTGACACTGCCTGACTGTATAGAACCATAGATTTATGTACAACATACAACAGTGCCCCCTAGTGGACAGAGCAAGTACAGCACCCACATCTTCATCAGGTAATGCTTTTTCGAGTACATTGTAGTAAGAATGCAATGCTGTTTTACATCTCACATTTTCCACCAAGCATGGGTCACCCATAATCTTCTCAATCAGTGTGTTGGGTTCTTTAACATGTGGAGGTTTAAAAATAACCCTGGAGATTCCCCCTATATAGGCGCTCCTACTAATGAAATCATGATTTGTCAAGTCTATATTTATATCAACATTTATAACATCTTGATTTTTCAAATGCAGCCATGTTATTTTGTGGGGGCCCTACTTGATTTTTATTTGCCTTCAGGACCTCCATAAAATCAACATGTTGTGGGCCTATGTACATGTATATATTATAAGGCATGTATATACATGTAATACCTACACAAAAACCCAACAGCCACCCACACATTCATATGCAACCCCATGCACAAGGTCAACAGCAGTACACACGGAAAAGGTCAGCCCATTGGCAGACCTTTCAGATTGGCTGGGGATGGGACTAATGAAAAACTGTGACTGGGGACCATTCAGAGCGGATCTGTCATGTTCTGTAGTTGAAAGTATACAACATGGCTGCAAGGTCATCTGAGGGTCAAGGGAATGAGTCTTTGAGGGTAGTTTCAAAGGGACTTGTGATTTTTTACATGGAGGGCATTTGAAGGTCAAAACATCCAACTGATCCCTGGAGGAACTGAAATGTACAAAAGTAACAAACTGATCTTGAATATGAAAGATTTTGGGGAAGCCCTGAGTTACAAAAATAGTAAATGCAGGCATAAAAAAAAGAACTCAGACTCACCAGGTGTTTCTCCAAGAAGACTTGAAGGCTGACCAGATCCTCCCCGGGTGTCTGGAAGGCGGCTGCTTGCTCGGTCATGTTCTCAAGGAACTCGCCCAGCATCTTTAAGTCCTCTGCAAAGGCCTGTATAAGGAGATTCTGTTGTTATACAGCGTTGCCTCTTTTTTTTTCATTTCTCAACCCACTTGAAGTTTACAAAAAGGACAGATGCTACTGTATCATAGTGTATGTGCAAAAGTTCAACTCACAATTTACAAGGACCACAAGTATAATGGATTAAGAAGAAGAAAGATTAAGATCATGTGTGTTGGCAGTTGGCATAGAGCTAAAAAGTTATTTCCATCATCATCCCATTAATACCCACCTCAAACTGTTCCTTTATGGCTTCAGGAAGCGAATCCGTGACCTTAAATGTTGAAAGAGATGTGCCGACAGCTGTCTCCTCCTCCCTGGCACTCTTTCCCTCCTTTGCCTTTTCCTCCTTCCCTTTAGCTCCCTTTTCATCTTCTCCAAGAGTCTTGGAGACTTGGGGATGTTCTTGAGGCACATCTTGCGTCTCGGCCCTTGGAGTGGAGTGCTTGGGCTGCGGGAGGCAGTAGAAGATGGGGAGGGAGGGGGGCGAGGAGGAGAGACACTCCCAGCTCATGTGAAGATCTTCCAAAGAACTCAAAGCTTCATCCAGGTCGTCCTCACTGCTAAAACCACACGCTCCTTTGTTGGCGACTCTAGGAGACTCTTGAGTTGAATTCTCTGCAGATTCGCTTCCATTGTAAAACTCAAGTCCCTTCTTCCCAAAGGAACCATAACCGTCATCATCCAAGGAGCTATTCTCCAGCTCCACCAGTGAAGCCATGTACTCGTTCACGTCAATCATGAGTTCATTGAGACTCTCGTCCGACGAGGACAGCTCCCTGGCCAGGTTGTCCGGGCGACACCCGCCATGGCTGATGGAGATCGGATTACTCTGGTTCATGGTTGTCAAGGTTGTCTGCTGGGTCCCTAAGGTTGTCTGACGGGAATTTGCAGAACTTGTCAGTTCATCCGTTCGACGCTGAAGCTTCTCTACTGCTGCAATCAGTCCTTGTGTGCTCCTCTCGACGATCCTCCTGTGACTGGGTCTCTGGAAGCCAGATTTTGGAAACCTGTTGTCTTGTTCCCTGCCTGTCTGCCGGTTGTCACACATGGTCCCACCTGAATAAATTCAAACCAACTATTAACAAAATTATACACCTATATCTGTTTTTATACCCCAATTAAGAGTAATTTTATATCAAGTAAACAATCCATTCATAGCAGTCAAAACTGTCAAGTGACCGCTTCTACATAAGGAACACCTGGCCAGTGTGACCACTTTTAAGCATTAAGAATCCTGTCTATAGCAACTACATGTCCACATAGACTGGATTTTATTGGTCCCCTGAATGGTCTTCTTGGGCAGTTTTATATTTGACTGCACTTGATTTGTTTGAATTTCCTACCTAATCTGCACATCCTATAGCTATGTATCATCCTGTTTCATATTGTTTAATGTATTATACTATTACATGTACAGATATACAAATATGCCAGACTAACCTTCTCCCCCAGAGTGGGGATGACCGTGTCCTGTCCCCAGGGGTGGGGCTGTGCTCCCCTCCCCCACCAACTCCTGTAGGCCGGCCACCTTCCCCTGCAGGAGGTCCCAGAAGTACTGGATGTTCTTCAGGTCCGTCTGGAGCGAGAGGTCGGGCTCCCGGTCCAGGTGGCGCTTCCCCTTCTGCAGGGTGATCTGTACAGGGATCTTGTGCTCACGGATCGTGTGCTGCAGCCTCTGTAAAATATAAACAAAACATGTAAACAAACAAAACCTGTAGTTTATCAATGAAGCCTTACAGGATAATCTGAACAGAAACCTTGAGAAAATGGATGGTGTGCTGCAACCTTTGAGAAACAATCAGATGCAAACTGAACCCAAACATGAACCATGGAATCCTACAGAGGTATAGAAGAAATTGTTAAACCTAGCCTAGGAGACCTAGCCTAGAGCTGCAAAAGATTAGAAGACCTGTTGGTCAAAAATAGAATGTTAGACACTGAATGGTTATCCATGAGTGATACATTGTGGTAAGAAAGCTGCATTTGTAATGACTGAGAACCTGGGACATTACCAGTAATGAGACATTTCATGCCTCAACAGCACTTCGAGGGTGTGGCAGGTAAGCAATGGTAGACCCAGGCAGTAGTTTTACATATTCTAGGTAATCACCACGACATAAAAATGGATTACAAGCCCTCAAAGTACAATGTTACTGTAGTATCCTAGCTTCAAACAGTACCTGAGGCTGGGCAGAGGATAAAGTTACTGATGTGAACACCTGAAAATCACAAACAAAACCAGCTTGCAGTGGGCACCTGGCGACGCAGGTACAACACATTGCTACATGTAGCCTGGGGGCAAGCACTGGGTTAAATCAATCCCAGCCACCCACTCACTGCAAAACACAAACAAGCTTACATCCTTCTATCTATAGCTGTGCAATCTAAAAATATGTTTCAAATTTCAAATGTAATCTTATCGTATCTATGTTTTTTCAACATTTAGGACTGCACTTCTCCAATTTGGGGTGCACAAAACTGTGCATGTGTCTGGTGTTTAGAGCCTTGATCATCAATTTTGTTACCCAGTGTAGAAGGTTAACACAGAAGCTAACCTTTCTTCCAACGAGTGATTAGTCATACATTCAATCCTGAAAGGGGCTGCAGGAGAGACAGATGAAAATTCAGTTCAATTTTGTTTGTTGTGTTGGAACAGAAAAATCTTATCTCAAATCTTGGCATTCCTTCAAAGGAGAAAGTACATACTTAGAAAGTGAGAAAATACGTGATTGACGTCTTAACATTTCTAGGGTGAAATCTGAGCTGTTTACGGATACTTTGGGAAATACACCACCTTGTGATTCCCACAAGAAAGTGAGAGTAGAAATTACAACAACTTGATCCTGTTCAGTAACATAGCTAGGAAGAGGGGAAAGGAGATTTTCACAGTGTACATACAATTACAATATTACAACATTTGTCATCCAATGGAAATGCATATTCACTGCAAATGGAGAGGTCATCGCTAAAATAAAACCACTGCCAGCATTTTAAGATCAACACTTTCGACATTAATATGGGGAAATCACCCCCTCAGGTGACCTGGCTTGTTCCAATTTTGTGTTGGCACAGTTCCACTGAGAACAGTGATGGCACAATTTAACATTTCACACCAGGCTCACACCAGGAAAGGTGCCAAACCTGCCTCCCTGATATTTAAACTACACTTCTCAGTTGGTAAATATAAGGAGTTCTTAGCTGTCCAGGTTGGTTACTTTAGGCACTCAGTTATCAAATCTAACCTGTGTGCATCTCCATAGCAAGCTGTAAGCAGGAAAAATCACCAACATTATATGAAAATTAGCACTGTGCTTTAGTCTGCAAATAACCTTTGTAGTGTCAGCATTGGTTAGTTTAAGCAATGAATCATGAAGAATTGCTATGTGGAGCCTTACAATAAGTTGTAACTCAAAAGTAGGTGACATTTAAGACCGAGCCAATCTATTTCCTTGCTTCTGGGACGTTTTACAAGACTTGTCTTCCTTTTTGAACTGAAAAAAAGAAACATGATGAAAACAGGTCTTGGAGAAAAACGTGGGTTACTGTAACTCTGCTCCCCCAAACTTTCCCCTCTGGCTTTGCTTTCATGATGTCTTTCAAGTCTCATAAAATTCTCCTGAATCCAAGAACCAAGGAATCAAATTGGTGTGGCATTAATCTACAATAATTGTCATCCAGGACCCCATCTCCAGGAAGAAATTACAGATGGAGAAGTGGGACAGGTCGAGGCAATTCTTCTTTCTTCAGCTTCATCATGCTGTCCCGTTTACAGTAAAATGGTGTCATCTGTGTAATTACTGGTAGGTTTTGCTGACACAAATTATCCAAATTTTTTTTCTGCACACAAAGAACGAATTTCGAGGCCTGCTCAAAACGTGCCCTGATGTGTCTGTGTGTGATGTCTACATGTACATGTATGTCTACAAGAAATTGAAGTAACTGTATTTTTCCATCTATAACCAATGCAGCTGATATTCCTGCCTGAATATTCCTGACCGCGTGTGAGAGACGGGATGAGTTATGGCTGTATGGGATTGCCTGATGCCCCAGAATACAGAACAACGCCGCACAATCCCTTCACAAATCTACACAAACACTGATTACATACAAGACAACATTCACAGCAAATAGCAACACCATTACTACAACATCAGCACAAACAACCAGTATATCAGGTTTCCTCCTGGTGAAACGAAATAGGAGAATAGAGGACAAAACACCAGTTTAAAATACATGTGTAAATGTAATCACCCACCACCCTCTCCCACCCCATCCTCCAACCAGGGATTTTTGCTCCGACTGAACAATTTTCATGTACATGGTAAAGATGTTTGAAGAATCAACATCTCTTTTCAGATTTAAACATGTCTCATGTTTAAATCTGATTTTCCCTAGAACAGCCTGAAATCTCCCGACACCTCTGCTATGTTAAATCATGCAGACTCACACACAGCCGCTGCCAGGCAGGGAGCCTGACTGCCATCATGACCTGAACTGAGCTGTCCTTAAAACACCCAAACTGAAAACCTCACCATCACATCCTATCAACGAGAATACCAACCACTTACCAATATTCAGCCAGGGAGGAAATGATCCACAAGAAGACTGAGAGAGGGATAAGAGGGAGGAATATACAATGGGTATGCAACTCACACGCTGGCTCCCCAGCACTACAGATGGACGCTGGTGCATACATAATATCCCTTTACATCCCCCAACAATGGAACACGTTGGCTCACGCCCACAGCTGCATCGGTGTTGGGTATTCACAATGCGCGACACGACAGGCAGGCTACGTCGGCCAGGTGGGCCCTCTCTCCGCTAACAACACTTCTCTCCACGATAGCAGGTAATGAGATATAATACAGAACACTTCACAAATCTTGTAAGGACAGGTTTGTTAAGAGCTACATAATTACTGCATGTTATCCAGCAAGCCTGGAGATAATCCTCTTACGTCTTCCACCATTTCAATTGACAGTTTATTACCACAAGTCTTGAATCTACATGTAATCATGAGTCCTGTGCCAAGGTCTCAAAAACAGGATTCAACACAGACAGCACAGACAACACAAGATTTGACAGACAGACAGACAAACAGACAGACCTTAAAGTTAAATCAGGCAAATCATCAAAATACCACCCAGACCTGTCTTTGTCTACATTCCCTGTAAATTACCATGGGAAAGGTGTAATTGGATGATCCTTTTACGAGATATAACTTGTGGGGCTCTAATTTCTCTAAAGTCTAATAATGACGCCCCATAGCTATGATGTCTGTTCTTATTTGGCAACATTTTCTACATCTCCATTTATCACCATTTTAACCTGCAGCTGCAGCAAACATGATGTATCTAACATTTCCCCTACTGTTTTAGACCAAGGACGCTCTACAGAAGCCTCTTGTAGAAAAACCTTGGTTAGACAGAATAAGCAGGCCCTGATTATATATAATTATGACTCCCAACAGCCCAGATGTCTGTGCAAGGAGATATACATGTACCCTCCTTGGTCTCCTCACTTCCAATCAAGTTTCAGGAGCAACTGCTTGATGGGTAGAAGTTCATGTACACGTGACTAGATCCTTGAGGTAAAGTTATATAGTCTGTTGTTATCTTGGATGCCTGTTATCCAGGACGGTACATAAATCTAAGGCAAATAAACAAATGAATAAATTAATACTTCTGCTTACTAGGCAGTATAACATGTAACACAAGTCAAAATTCCCCTCTCTTGTAAATGTCTCTCACACCATGAGGAACTAATGGCTGTGTTATGGTTCCCCTGCTGACATTTGATCCATTCTAACCACCAGCTCTAATCCCCTTAATTCAGTCAAGCCTACCAACAAAACAAAAACTTGATCTGTCCTTTTTGTTGAGGTTTACATAATTCTGTAAACATTGAGGACATGATGATGCAGAAATACCTGGTGTCTTCCTGGCATGTTAATTTATTGCCTTGGCATTTTAGAAACAGACTGGAAAATGATTAGGTATAGGAAAGAAAGGGAAGGTAGATTTGAAAGTACTTGAGAAGTCATTGACACCTTCCTGTGATGTGTGTTTATTGTACTTTACCTTGGGGGGAGGTGTTTTTCACAAATACTTGTAAATTGACCTTACAGCTACACTTGTAACATTTATCTATTACTAACATCATTTGTTGGAAAGCGCCATACATTACTGTACCAAGAATATTATTCTGTCCTTGCAACTATAGTACCAAGGACAACATATAGTGTCCTTGACTGTACTAAACACTGATACACATTTATCATCATGCATAGGATCACTGAAGAATGTCATACACAATGACAATCACCGAGGAATAGCTGCCCCAAAATGCCATCAATTTAGAGTTAGCAACCAAGACTACTAACTACATCCAAATAGCTATCAAAACCTGAACAGTTGGAAATCAGCATAACAAAGTGCCCAGCTCCCTGGTCTCCCTTCCTGTACAGTACAATAACCCTGTTCTGTCCTCAGACTGAGCTGTCCTTTGTTTACCCACCATCTCACTTTCCCTTCCCACAACAGACCTGCTCAACTGATACCTGCTACAAGAATACAGGCCTTGTATGCTACCCTGTACCACTGACAAAGACTATAGAATGGACACACAAATCCTTTAGAAGTGCCCAACCTACAGCATATTCTGTTCTGGAGCTAA